GTAGTAGTAGTAATAATAATAATAATAATAATAATAATAATACGTCTTCAGCTATCAACCGTACTCTCCAACTGTCATCCTCGTTTCCAGGAGTGTGGAGCTGATTCTCAAGATTGACGATGACGTATTCGTGGATGTCTTCAAATTTTTCGAACTCTTCAGACCAATCGTCTCAAACCGAAAACGGTAAAGAGCTCCACAGAAACTTCTCTCCACCAATAAATCGTTCAAATCTTTCTACTTATTGGAACGTGCTCCCTGTCTGTGAGCTCAAATTAATATAATAGGCCTACTGTATTACACGCAAACAAGTATTCTGGCAAAATACGAACAAACTGTTGACATAACCTAGGCCAGCGGTTAAATTGAACTAAGCCCAACATTTTGACACTCCATAAATTGCAGTTTCTTAATCTGTGTTAACTGTTGCATATTGTGCTCTAGAAGTAAACGCTTTATCGAAATTCGAACTCTAAATGTTTTGGTATAAATAGAAAATAGTCAAGGTATAATTGTTAAAAGAATAAAACAATTTCTTCTCCCTCCTGTAACATTTAATTTTGCTTTCTGGGATTAGTCTGATTTAACAAGTTGTCGACAATAAGAAGTTATTTGCAGCTGATGTAGCTCAATGTTTTTGTTTTGTGATCAACGAAACAATGATTGATTTCTCTCATTAAAAGCGTCGGTCAAAGTTTTAAAAAGAAAAACCTTAATTTCATCCTTGTCTCTCTGTTCAGGACTCTCCACTGCTATCTCAACTTTGAGCCTCAAGTCTTCCGCCAGGGGAAGTATCGAGTGAGCGAAGAGGAATTCGCGGGTAGCGTTTACCCGAACTTTTGCAGCGGCTTCTTTGTGGTGCCCACTGTGGATATCTTGGACGATCTGTACGATGTCTCGAAAATAATTAGGTGAACGAATTCGTTGATGTTTTTTTGTACGAGTTTTACGGTACTTGCATCGCAATTAGGTCATAATTAGCGCCGAAGATTGGAGGTGTTACACGAGAGTGGCAAACACAAAAAGGAGGAGAAACAGGGACAGTAGATAAATGTTTGGCATTAAAGAAGGAGCAAATCACGCCATCAGAGCACCAGTCAACCACCGGCGAATTAGTTGATGCTGTAAACATAATATAAGAACAGTAGAAATAAGAGTAGCTTGAAAAGAATAATGCCCAGAACAGCCGAACAGCCAGTGATGTATATAAATAGACACATCCGAGATAGATAGATAGATAGATAGATAGATAGATAGATAGATAGATAGATAGATAGATAGATAGAAAGATAGATAGATAGGGATTCGGGATAGTTGAGAAAGAAACGTATGTTTTTGTTTTGGTAAGTGTTTTTACGGCGCTCGCAGCTGCATACGGTCATATGAGC